ATGATACACAACTCCCACAAAAATTATGCAAAACAGGATACTAAGAAAACAAAAGACATTTGGAGTTGCATACTGATTTATCGGTTCATCCGGAGAGAAAGGAAACTCTGGTACAATACGATAATACCTCAAAGAAATAAATAAACACGTTCAGCGAGACACAACATCAAGAAGAACCAGGTCTCGAGGTACAGCTAAAACCGTGGCCCAAAGAGAATTCAGATAGAGAAAGAAGGTCCTGACAGCAAGCGCATAACAAAATGAAAAAGTAGAAAACATGCGACGAGATGTTGGGTGTTAATTATATTCTGTATGGCCCATTTATTGGAACTGTATTTTGAGTAATGTAACTTGCATTACAAGCAGGTTCTTCGAAAATGAGACAGTACTGGACATTCTTCCAAGCAAAGTCATTGACCGGGTGCCGGTAAAGACTTAGCAGCAAATGGGAAGGGACAACAATTACAGTCAGCTGCTCTAGCCTACAGGTGGTCAGCCAGCTCGAAACAGAAGTTTGTAGCAAACAAATCTTGCCCCTAAATCAACGGTGATCACGCACTTTGCGAATCGATATGAGGCTACTAAAACCGCAGTGTATTTAAATTCAATAAAGGTCTATAATGCTGAATGCAAGCTGGTTCTCAAATCCCATGGTAATTTCCTCAGAAAAACATTCTTAGCATTAACAGTAATATTGTTACAAAGACTGGATTAATCATTATCAAAATTTAATTCGCTGTTATGACGAGTCAAGCAATGGGTAGGGCAGGCCTTACATCAAAAGAGACGAAAGGGAGACTCGAAAGATAAGACAAACGTGGCCGGTAAGTTGATCAACTAAATGCCCTTGGACAATAGTGCTCTGGACATTAATTTGAATTATAGTACACATTTTAAAAAGAAATTCTTTCATGCAAAAAATAAATTTTCAGTCGATCATCTACTGAGATCAAATTCTAAACTTATGTAACGAACCAGAAACACAATATTAAACGCAATATCCGGCTCGGAGCGTATGGGCTGGACAATTCCGTATTATGCAACAGCATGCGGTATCATGAGGTAATGTAGCAGATGCACGCAGATCGGCACTGCCAATGCAGGAAGGTACAAAGGGCTCCATCTGCCGTTGTGGAGACACAAACTTGATGTTTTGATAGGAACGCTGTTCGATGTATGGCTGAGAAGAACTGACATCATACGCTGCGACCACTGTTCAGTAATTCTCTATCTACGTGAGGACAAATCTTCTGCTTACCGACAGAATGAACCAATATAGATGCAGACCCGGACGTTCGATTTTTGCATTTCAATTACTATTGAGACTACAAGAATTGACACTGATGAAGTTTTCCCTACTCTAGAGGCAGTTCAGAGCAGTTGAAGTTGGCATTAGAAAGCAACTTCAGAAATGATTTATTAAACATGACAAAGACCGGTGTCCGACTTCTTCAGACGTAACCTAGTTTAGTGAAAAAGCGGAAAAAAACGCAAGATACCAACAACCACCGTGCGAAAAAAAATTTTGTTCTTTATTACTGTAGCTCTATGACAACAATCGTCACACCTCTACTTGCGCCGCGGGCTTCGACTGAGGTTGAGCGGCGGCTTTAATTTGCTTCTTAGATGCTCTTGGCTTGCCCTCGCGGAAACCATTTCTAAAAAAAGGAGACCTTAAAAATAGGTAGCACAAACAACAGTCAGTAATTGCTTTGCCCTGTTCAGATTAAGGAAAATATTATGTAATCGTTTTCACAAAGTTACGGTCGCATTCTGCGACTCTGAAAGGCGTCGTTGTTCTGAAACTGGAAAGGAACTACATGCTAACAATCACATATCATCGGGGTTATAATTTTCTACTACACATTTGCTTGTGGACAGTTGAAGACTGATTTTTGTGCACGAATGCTTCCGTTTTCAGTTCAACAAAAAGATGCGGTCCCAAATCCAATGCATTACAGGGAGTTATACGCCATGGCGATGTAACGCTTAAATAATCCTTCTAAGTGACCAGAAACAAGGGGCGGTTATAAATACCGACGCAATAACAGATGTACAATGTTTTAGCCACACCAGGACCTCCGTGTATATCTAGTCTATTCCCTGATATTCATCCGGCAGATCTTGATGCTTCGCCTCAACTTATGAATCGTCACTTTTCAGAAAGTATACGGTATGACGATAAAGGACTATCATTATTAACTCTACGACGCCGCAGTCATGATGACGGGGAAACAAAGCTAGTCAGGTTTTTAATTAAAATTTGGCACTAATGAATGCACAAATGTTAAAGAAACTAAATACAGATACATTCAGAAAAAAAGTTAATTCAACCAGGCCAATTTGCATGCGACTAGCAGTGAAAACTGTGCTTGCCGGTCAAGGATGTAGTCATTCTCAGTCAACTCTGGAACCCGAAAGTAAATTGGCATTATCTTCTCAAATATCTCATTATTGAACGAGAAATAACGGCAAAAATTAGAAAGCACAAATTTAATAATATTAATAATTATGTACTTATCGAGCGGTATGGTGAGATTCTTGAAAATCTAGTAACAGAAATTTGTGATCTGGATTTCAACGCTGTTTGTTGGCCAACATCCCACAGCCGAATTAGAATTAACAGCATAATTAGAAATTACTTATCATCATCATAAATTATATACTTGAATTTAACATTACCGGACACTTTACTAGGAAACTATAGCCATAAGCTACGAAACTGAAAAATTAATGCCATTGCAGTTTCAATATTTCACTACTTATTCCTTCATCGCTTACATGCACACGAACAATAAGATTTGTACTGAATTTTGACACACAGCACACAAGGCTTCAAAAGCTCTGTCCTTCATCCGTTACCAGAGTCACGCCAGTTCGCCATTTTACGGTTCACAACAGGCAGTAAGAAAATACGCTCCATGCGACATCCAAATCCACGATCTGAAGTTGTTGTAACAGACAGGAGGGAGACAGCAATATCAGCATAATTTAACCTATCATTTCACGTGAAAGCGATCGCTTTATGCAGCTGGTTTCAGCAGGACTGGTGATAAATTTTATATAAATTTATGGCTTATACCTTAAAATGGATACCAGCTGAATCAAAGCGAACTTCAGTCGCAAAGCACAGGAATCAGAACATCATACTGTCTCAACTGTGCGCAGGCCATCGTATTCTCGCCGAGTATTTCTCGACTAATCGCATCGCAACTCAGTGAAATAAAGTCGAATTCATTGCCAAAACGCGTTAACAGATATGAAGAAAATTTTATGCTACACTAAAATTCGAATCCTGTATATGTAACATACAGCTTACAACATCGACTGCGTCATTGCCTTCCCACCGAACGGAGAAATAAAACTTACAGCATACGTAAGGTCGTTTCGTACTATTTCCTTTTCCGTAGTGAAAAGTGCCGAGAATCACACTAGTTCGCATGCAGCTGCTGATGGAGAATCAAACTGACAATTACTCCAAACATTAATCTTATTTTAATCTATTAAAATAATAGTCGTTTCCCCGTGATGGTGGACAACAAGGTCTACCGGTCGACAAGGTATACTAATGAAACAAAGATTCTTAGCATATACCTCCATTTTAATGAAAATGATCAATCATATCATAAAACAATATCCAATGACTGAAAGTACAAAGAATGCGAACTAAATTCGAGTATTATTTTTCCCATGCTTGATGTCAGCTATTCATATACTGTGCAGAAAGTCATGGCGAGAGTAAAATAACAAATAAATAATTAATACGGAATCTGAGCATAAGAAACCTTACTGATAAGCTTAAAATGAATTAAAAATGATTCAGCATACCGGAAACGACGATGAACCACCTTCAAGTACCGCATACGACCAGTTCCTTGAGTTCTCCTCCGGATCGCCTTAACGCTCCAGTTATCTTAAACAAAAGGAAATTCATCGAATACGTTTTGCCATCAAAAGGAAAGACAAACATCGTCGCAAACGCTTCGAAGGATAGCCGCATGATGCGCATCTGTGCTTCTGAATGTGGTACGATGACCGACCACATCGCCTACATAACGTGTGTGTCTTGGTATGGCGTTTTCCGAAACTAGATGTACCCTTCGTCTAAAACAGCAAAACTGCGGTTTCGGAGATTGCAAGTGAAGGGATTCTTACCATTTCTTACTACCAGTGAAAGGAGTTGCTGAACTGTATTCCACAAGTGCACAGAAACACGGTATTAAACTAGGCAGGACATTCTATACAT